ATCCATTGATCAAGGGTGTCCAAAAGGGGACACAGAACACCAGGTGAGTTCTCACCACGTCAAAACAAAGTAGTACACTCAGATCCCTTGATGTGGACACCAAGCTTGACACCACCTTCCAGTCCATGGGCATTCCTCTTTATGTCGCTACTGCATTGCACTGTCAGTTGTTGAAGGCCTTACGTTCTGGAATCATCTGAGTCAGTTTAGAGAAGATTCAAGAAATGTATGGGCACTGGGGCAGGGGCTAAATTGGTCGCACGGGGGGGGACCAGATTCCTGGGCAACTCCCACACCCACACACCCCGTGGGTATGCTTTGGGTCCTTGTTGTGCTTTCCACGCCAACGCCTTGAGCCTCCAGGGTCTCTCCACTCCCGCCCTTCTTTCCAGGCATGCCACCGTATTTTGGGGCCCTGGTTCTCCCCACCAGCCATGGCAAAGGCATCCCAGCTCCTGTGGGGTGCTGCCCCCCCAAGCGAGACTCCTGCCTGATTTTGCTATATGCGCCCCTGGAGGCTGGGAGGGGAGCGAGCGAGAGCTGTCCATAACAGGAGGGGACCTTTTTAGAGTTTCGCTTGAGGGCTTCGGACTGACTCCGCTTGCTGGGACGGCGCGGAGGGGGCCAAGAAGCAAGCCCCCTCCCCAAATGACTGGGACCCACATAGCCACTATGTGCACATGGGCAGGAAACCAGCGGCCTGCCTGTTGGCCCCATCGCCTGGCTCTCCCATCATTTGGCTGGACTACAGCTCCCATCGTCGCTCGCCAGCAAAGGGGGGGCTGTGAGGCATTTTCTGGGACCCCCCCGGGGCTGTGCATGTACAGGTGTCTCTCCTGGTGGGCAGGGGCCGAGGGGGCCTGGTTGCACGGAGGAGGCTGCTTTGGCCACCAGATTCCCCCCCCCATCCGGCTGTAGCTCTGAGCCATCCCTGTCGGTGGGGAGGCCGACTGGGGATGATGGGAGCTGCCGTGCAACACCGTCCGAGGTTCCCGGTTGCCTAGAACTGCCCGCCTCCCTTTTGCTCCTTTCCCAGACTGCAGGCGTCTGGGCTTAGCTTCGCTGAGCCGGGAGGACAACCTGATGCTCTCCCAAGAAGGATCCAGGAGCCAGAGGGGCCTGGACCCCTCCCCCCGTTCTCTCTCTCTCTCTCTACAAGCTGACCCCCCCAACTGCCCCACAAGGGCCGTTTCCCAGCCCCAAAACCCCTTGTGCTCAAATGCTCAGCGGAACACAAGCACTTCTGCACGGCGAGCCCCATCGCTTCCCGGTGGGTGCATTTTCTGGCTCCTGGATGAAGGCATCTCCCTTTTCAAACCCTTCCTTCCTTCCTTAGCTTCTTCATCCCTTCCTCCCTCCCATCATTAGCCTTCCTTCCTTCTTCCAACCGACCGACTGACTGACGGACCTATCACAGACTCTCTAAAAGGCCAACTTCTGCATTCAGCAGACACTCTCCCTCACGTAGGCTCCACTGAACCCGTTCTGCTCCAGACCAAGAATGCCGATGGGATCATGAGGGACAGAAACCTGACTGTGCTCACCAGTGGGTGGGGGTGGGGGCAGGGCTGCCAGATGAACGACACACCAGCCTGGATAAAAATGCAAAACATTTTACTCGAAGGTCGTACAAAAGTTTCCAGTCCCAAAAAATGGATATGTTATAAATCATTGAAAAAAGACGCAAGACGTTTGGCATGCATTTCCACAGTAATAAAACAAAAGGGACGTGGTGGCACAAAAGGGACGTGGTGGCACTGCGGGCTAAACCGCAGAAGCCTGTGCTGCAGGGTCAGAAGGCCAAGCAGTCGTAAGATCGAATCCACGCGACGGAGTGAGCGCCCGTTGCTTGTCCCAGCTCCCGCCAACCTAGCGGTTGGAAAGCGTGCATATGCAAGTAGATAAATAGGGACCACCTCGGTGGGAAGGTAACAGCGCTCCGTGTCTAAGTCGCACTGGCCATGTGACCACGGAAGATTGTCTTCGGACAAAACGCTGGCCCTATGGCTTGGAAACGGGGATGAGCACCGCCCCCTAGAGTCGAACACGACTGGACAAAAATTGTCAAGGGGAACCTTTACCTTTTTAAAACGAAGGCAGCTTCGAAATGGGGAAGTTGGGATCAGGGAGATGCCCCATCACGGGGCCCCTTTTGAGAGGGGTTGTGGGGAGCCTGGACAGGACCCGTCACCCTTTCTTGTTGGACCGGCAGCTCGTGTCTTGTTTGGGGAAAAAAATGACACGTGCCCCAAAGGAACAAAGGTACTGTACAACCACCTGATACAAAAATAGAGTTCTAGTAAGGAGAGGGGCTTGTAGGAAAGCAAACCTCCTCAAGCCGCTTTGAGGGCCTGCCAACTTTGGACAGCTGTCCACGAGGGGGTGATCGGGGGACCTCTGCCCAACCGCCTGCTGGCTGGACTTCCCTGTTTTAATCGTCGTTAAGCAAATGGGCTTAAGATGATAAAACCACAAGGTCGTTTCATTAAGTATAAAGCTATGCTTGTTTCCAAAGTAGTATGTAGTAGTTCTGGGTCTGGGGGGGGGTGAGCCCAACCAGATATCCCAGTTAAAATCCAGCAGGTCCCAGTGTCTGCTGCTCGACAGGCCATGGGCCTCTGGAG